ACTCACACACGCACATACACACACACTCAGGAATTTTTTTCTCTCCTCATTTCCTTTCACAGTGAAAAACAGGATGAAGGGGCTCTTTCAGACTCGAGGTTACCGTGGAAACCCCCTTATTCTTCTTCTGTCAAACTTGCTTACATTGTAACACACACACACACACACACACACACACACACACACACACATATATATAGAGAGTGACAGAATGTTGGACATTTAAAGTTTAAAGGGACCAAGGCTACAGCTGTCCTTCTGTCTGCCATAGTTTTGGCCTTCTGTTTAGTTTGGACAAAGAACTTTATGCCCCCCTCCCCTTTCTTTTTCTCTTTGTCTCATTCCCTTCTAGTACTAATACATTAGTATTCTTAAGCAAGCCTTCTTAAACCAAAAACACAAGATGTTCTTATTAAGTTTCCCTGAAATGTGTTTGGTCTACGATGACTTTGAAAGTTGGCAAAAGATTTGTTTGTGTCTCTATGTGGTTCTTTCAATTGGGCAACCTCAGCAACATTTTCCACAGAACAGCTTACCCCAGAGATATTGATGTTGAAACTATAAACCCTCTCCTCTGTTCCAGTTTAGGCAATCTCCAGCCGTGGAATGCTGAATGGAAAAAAGTTAGTCTGAAGTTATATAAAGTTAATGTTGTGCTCTACTCCTATCTCGCCACCAGAGGGCCCATGGAAAAACACATTGGGCGCCACAGATATACAATAGGGCACATCATCTGAAAGCTTTTAGTGGGTTAAAAATAAACTGCAGCGCTCCACAAACAGGGAGTGGTGATGAGAGGATGAATAGACCACATGAAAAGATAGGAGAAGAGATTGAAAAGAAAAGAGGCTATGTTTTCATGGAGGAGACTGAAACTATTATTTGAGTTAGTTCAGAGTGGTCCAGGATCAAAGTGTCCTATACATCTCTTCCTCTTTCTTTGCATTCATCTTTTTTCTATTTTCTTTCCTTTCTCCAAGCCTGACTACCCATCGCCTTCTCTACCACACATTTTCTCCTTTTAAGGAGAGAGGGAATGAGAGAGGAAGGGAATAGGAGGGAGGGGGGTTGAAGGACACACTCAGGTCTGCTGACTGATAAACAGACTCCTCTTTGTGCAGATGGAGGCAGACACACACACACACGCACACGCTTAGTTATATATTGACAGAGACCTCTGCATGACTTGGCTCCTCATGATTCTGTGCACTCCTCCTGAGCCTCCTCTTCCCCTCCATCGCCCTGCTTTCTTCTGTCTCTCCACTTAATTAAAAACAGAAGTCAGAAATGGAAGAATTTAGTTTTTCTTTCATGACGCACACATGCATGGTTGCGTGCACAGGAACACACACACAGACCTAACCCCCCCCCCCCCCCCCCCCCCCCCCCCCCCCCCCCCCCCCCCCCCCCACACCCCCCCCCCCCCACACCCACACACACACACACACACACACACACACACACACACACATCATCTCTCAGTGCCAAGCAGCTGTTGGGGAGACGAGGGGGAAGTGTTCCAGGAAAGTGTGTGCGTGTGTGTGTGTTTGGTAGTCGGGGTGGTAGTGATTTGTTTCCACAAAAAGAGGGCCCACTTTGTCTGCCGCTGTAACAAAAAGGCAGCTGGGACGATAAAACATGTGGATGTTAAGATGCCTGTGCTCCACTGGTGTGTTTGTGTATGGGTGTGTATGTTTGTGTGTAGCCACACATGTGTTCTGCCTCTGTCATCTCCTCTCCTCCCCCACAATGACTAAGTGTAACATGGTGCAGTGCTCCATAGCCACCACTAGGGGTGCCATCGGCTCATAAATGAAATGAGCTGGCTGTGCATGTGGAAACCACAGAGCAGCCATTTTACAATCTGCACACCAGACCCCATTTTATGAATCAGCCATGATGTCAACATTGCTCAGCCTGATTCCATTGGCTGGAGCGCAGCTGGCACTGTAGCTATTATAGCACGGATGTACACACACACACGCACGCACACTCACCGGCTCTCCATCTCTATGAGATGCACACACACAGAGGCGCCCACTGACCTAGTGACATGATGCCGTCACTAGTCTTGTCCCAGACTAACTGGATTGTCGCTGCTTAAGATTATATGCTATTGAGATCAGACTGCACTGTGGCATGTTTACTTCTGTCTTTGTACAAGTCTGCATGTGCACACACAGTATTCCAAGGTCCAACCTTTTACTGATATTTTGATCTCTCTTTCTCTCCACATTATCTTATTTCTCTCATTATCTGTGTATTGTTCTAGGTCATTAGTCTCCCTGTTTGTGTCCTTGTCCCAGGATGTTTATTTGTAGATGCTTGTCACTTCCTTCGAGTTTCTTCCTAACCTTTCAGCTATGTTTATGTGCTTGTGTGAAGATATTTATGTTTTTTCCTCTCAGATGTCCGGGTGGATTTTCCTACCCTGTGTATGTGGGTAATGGTTGACTTCCTGCTTTGGTTTCCTGCTCACAGCAGGGACTATAGCTGGAGTGTTGGACCCGCAATAGTATTATTGATTCATGGTAGAGATACACAGCTGATTATACTGATATACGGTGTACTGTATGCAAGTGGTAGAAGAACAGAGTTGAAACAGATCAGATTGCCCTAAAGTCTGAGTCAAACTTTAGACACAAGTCATGGTAGATTCTGAGAGAGGAGTTTAATACAGCTGAAGCTGAATGAAACAATGGGACTTATTGAGGCCCCAGTCCACTGACTGACTGACTCACTGTTATGTGTGTGAGTGTGTGTTCTAAATGGAGAAATGAGGAGCTCATTAAGAGGCCTGGGCTTGTTGACAGACTGTCCGACTGATTGGTCTCTCACATAGAGACAAAGCACTGTTTGACTGGACGTATGGAAAGATGGGCAGATGGATGAATGAGTTGTTATGCTGTGGCTGTCTCTGTGTCTGTGTGGAGAATACTTACAGTGTTGCTGTTTGAATGAGACTATTTTTTGATAAACTGCAGTCAAATAGGGACAGACTGTGGGAAAAGATGGTTGAATTGAGGAAGCTAGGTGTTAGATTAACCTAAATTACAATCGATAATAAATGTTAGTAACAATCAGCTGAAGGGAGGTCTGTCTCCACAACATCAAGTCATTATTTTACAATGGTTACAGAGGTTCAGTCCTGATAGCCTTGTCTGTTGTCGTGAACATTTAATTTTAGCTTCTGATGTCATAACATGAGGCAATTACCAGGCAGTGGAAGCAGGTGGGCTGCTCATCACACATGGGGCTATTTTTTATTTGTATTGTTTGTCTGTGTGTTTCAGACAGAAAGTGACAAAGAGATACAGCATACTTGTACTGTACATTCTGTGCCAGCACTCCTGGCTGTTTTCCAGACAGTGATTCTTGCTTCCTGTTACTGTCTGGGTTTTACAAAGATAAAGTACAGCAAGGCCACACTGAGGAGTGGCGGAGGAAAAAGTGGGCGGTATCGATCCTCCAGTTTTTTATCGACTTATCACTATACAGAAAGTACATAAAAATGAGAAATGGTTGAGGCCATTGAGTGAAAATTTGGAATATTTATGGTATTGAGACCAAGATATACTCCTCGGCATTTTCCAGTACCTGTTGCATTGTTATTTTAAATTAAAGCCAAGGCACCCACTATGGCAGGGTATTGTTTAAAAAGTTACAATACTAGTGCCATTACCAGTAGCCTTAAAGTGGAATCGATACCAATAGAGAAATTCAGTTGATGCCATTTAATTCTACTTCCTTTGATGTTCATAAATTGAATACAAGAATTTAGTTGCGTAGATGCCACATGCATGTAGTATAGCCATATTTTCAAATGTTTAGATGGCATCTCGGCACGCTGAGCTGCCAACTCCGTCAAATACACTGCACTCTTCTTCACCACACCACAATATGCCTTACATGCGTATCAAGTACTGATACTTAGGCCTAGCCCCCACTAGCAGTTGTTTTAATCATGAATTAATATTCAGATTTTCTTGATGAAATGTCCATAAGCATGCCAAATGCTCATCTCAAGTTACCTCAGGCCAGAACTGTCTGACAAAATTACTTATTTTGACCCACAGTTATAAGGCATGTCCTAAATAAAAGAAGCTCCTCGCATTTGAGAATCTGTAGCAGGAAAAGCTGATGAGTTTTGACAATGAGAACATGTTTGGTTGATGGACTAATGACTCCAGCACTAATCATGATACAAGACATTTGTACTGCACTATCACATGAATGTTAAATTGAGTAAGAGTGGTTAGATAATATTGGCAGAAACAAATGAACAGCTGTGACATCATGTACTCTGCTGACCTCAGGTCTGATGTGCCTGCGTACAGTGGGCTATCATGTGGTCAAACCCATGTGCTTGTTCATCTTTCACTCCTAATTCTCATCCAGCGCACACCCCCCCCACACACACTGACACATCCTTACAGTCACAATCCTGACCTTGTCAGAACAAGTTTATGTGAAGTGTTCCTGTCAAGTGCGTGTGTGTGTATGTGTGATGAAATGTACTGTACGTGCATATGTGTAAGCTGATTGTAAACTTTAAATGCCTTACAGCTGAAAAACATCTGACCGTATTTACCAGGCCCACACACGCCAGGGATGTCTTTCCCCCAGTGTTACAGCCATTTCATAGCAGTTCCATCATACCCAAGGCCAGTGATACAATAATCCTAACACCTCTGTGACACCATACAGTTGGGAGGGAATGAAAAAAGTGAAGGCCGTGCCAAGTCTGTCAGTTTTCATAGCCGTCACATAGGCCCTCTATCCATCCCTCTTGTCCACTTCTCTCTCTGTTAAAGAACCCACTGAATTTACCACTGTCCTTTCCAACATTTTTTCTATTATCTAGCTGTACCAGTCACCTCTCGTTAAGAAAATTACCAAGAAATGCACTTTCTAACAAAGTTTCTCATGTCTTCTATCCTCCGAATATTCCCATCCCACCCCCCACCCTGATCCCCACATTTTTCTATCCACCTCTCCAGCCAAAAAGGAGCAGGACGGTGGAGATGAAAAGAAGCAGACGCAGAAGAAGAAGGTGAAAGAGCTGAAGATTCTTGACTCCAAGTGTTCACAGAACCTTTGTAAGTCCACAGATGTCGACACTGATACCCATGCACTAATGACGCTGCTTTTTACATACCTTCAGTAAACACCAACACACTAAAGTGTTCAACTGTATCCTCACTGGCTTGCAATAAGCGCTCTTAATTGTGTTTGCTCATACAGCCATTTTCCTGGGATCATTCCGTCTCCCTTATGAAGACATCAAGAGTGCCATCCTGGAGGTTAATGACAAGGTCATCACAGAGTCCATGGTTCAGGTACAGAGCTCAGATCTGCCCCACTGTTGGTGTACAAGGTTCTATGTATGCAACTACTCATGCATGTTTTAACAGTATAGTGTTGGCTGTGAAAAGTTAGTTTTATTTGTATTGTTTTCTTTTGTGTCTTTCAGAGTAGATTGGTTTAAAATGGAAACAAACAAGTTTTTTGCTTTAACATACAATTGTGAAGTAAATATTGATTGAACAATGTAGTGGCTGTAGAATCATTACAGCCCATAAGCCTTGCTTCCACCGTGCAATTCTGTCTTCCACTTGGTACGGTCTCCCAAAAAATGAAGGTTCAATTTATGGCACAGAAGAAGTGTGTCAACCCTTTCACAGTCAGAACAGGGAGAGAATGGCACTTTTGGTTTTCCCAGTAGCTATCAGTAACTATCCCCCCAGTTACCAAATAATTTCAATGCAAGTTCTTTGCAATTACTGTCTGCAGTAGCAGAAATGGCAGATGGTGGAACAACCGAAGTAACTCAAACTGTGGAAAACAAAATGTGTTATTGGTAGTTGCCAGGCTCTTAGGAAAATGGGAAGCAATCCGGCTGTCTTTGCGTCAGCAACACTACAATAATACTTCTTGGAAATACCGGGGGGGGGAATAAGCTGAAAAGTTGTTTGTTTTTTTTAGAATAATGAGCAATTGTAACGAGAAGGAGAAAGTGTATTGAATTCATAGTATATTCTAGTGACAGCAAGCTTCTGTGTCCTTTAGCACATATTAAATTTTATTTTATTTAACCAGGAAGTCCTTTGAGATACATTATCTCTCTTACAAGACAGACTGGGCATTTTAAGATGGGCGTCATAAAACTGCATAAGAAGACATGTGCTTTAAGGTTCTTCACACTGAATCTTCAGAGCTACTGACCCTGCACACTGATTGTCCTTCACAGTGGAATAACCCACAGAAGATTTTCTGTAAAGGTTCCACCACACAAATGTCTCCACATCCTGATAGTTCTTTATATTTTGCTCTCATTGTCACATAGAACCTGATCAAACTGCTGCCACCAGCAGAGCAGCTGAGCACCCTCGGAGAGATGAAGGATGAATATGATGACCTGGCTGAGTCGGAGCAGTTTGGAGTAGTGGTGAGACAACATACACACCAACAAACACAAAACAATTGCTTCTGTAAAATCTGTGCAGTTCAAATTGTCAGCTGACTTGGACATGACTAACCACAAACATAGCAGGGAAATCACTTTAATGGCAAATGAGGCATAGAAAATGTCGAAGCACTGAGATAGAGTCATACCGTTGTCAACATATTAGACACAGAAAATCCTCCTGCTGTTAAACACAGACTGCATTGTTCAACTGTGGAAGATGTGAGTAATGAATGAAATCCCCTTTTTTATCACACACAACTGCACACACACACACAATCTATGTGGCATCAGATATACCAGGAATGGGTCCCTCTTTTCTCTCTCCAGATGTCCGGTGTGAAGCGGCTGATGCCTCGGCTTCAGGCCATCCTGTTCAAGCTGCAGTTTGAGGAGCAGCTGAACAACATCAAGCCAGATGTGGTGTCTGTGACTGCAGCCTGTGAGGAGCTCAGTAAAAGCCAGAACTTTGCCAAGCTGCTAGAGATCATCCTCCTTGTCGGGAATTACATGAATGCGGGCTCCCGCAATGGAAAGGCATTCGGCTTCTCCATATCATACCTGTGCAAGGTAAAATAAAGTGTAGATGTGATGTACACACACATACACAGTAAAAACTGAATCAGTGCACTGGAGCAGCCTTTACTCTTAACCTTTTGTATATATTTTTGAGGTCAAGGGTGGAAATGCTGATGTATAATAAATTACATTAAACTGGGTCCCACAAGAGTAAAGCTCTCACCTTAAAGGGGCAGTTCAACCCAAAATCTAGAGTACATATTTTTCCTCTTACCTGTGGTGCTATTTATCAGTCTAGATTGTTTTGTTGCGAGTTCCTGAGTGTTGAAGATATCAGCCCTAGAGATATCTGCCTTCTCTTGAATATAATGGAACTAGATGGCACTTGTCTGGTGCTTAGATTGCCTAAAAATAAATTTTTAAAAAACTCAACAGCAATGTCTCTCTCCAGAATAATCCACAGACCTGTTAGCAGTTTCATGTAGGTACTATTTTCTCCCTATTGAACTACACCTGTCAACTGTGTCACCAGGCAGAAGGAAGCGTGCACCTAGTGCCAGCTCACTTAGCATCAATGAGCTAACTGTTACAGTTCAGCCGGGGAGTACATAAGCAATGTTTACATCTTGTGCTGTCACGAGCACAAGCCTCTTGTCCGTGAGTAGACAGTGTTGGGAAGGTTACTTTTTAAATAAAATTGATTACAGATTACAGATTAATATAACTATTTTAATTACTTCATCAGAGTAATGTAACTTAAGAGATGCAATTACTTTCATACATTTGTTTTAAACCGAACAATGAAGTTGAAAAGTCCTTAAAACGTAACTCTTAAACCAGGCAGTGTGAACCTCACAACGGTACTCTCACTGATTACTGTCAAACGTTTATTAAAGGCCCTTCAATGTAATGAAGTATATATAATATTATATTCTGCATTATCAGCTTTTACCAAAACAAATATATTCAGATTTAACCCCTTCGTAATCACCAACATTTTGATTAGTGACTGTAATCTAATTCCATATTTTTTTCAGTAACTTTAACAGTGTCACAATTACATTTCTCTTGTAATTAACATTTATCTTATAATCTATTACATGTAACTAGTTATACCCCAACACTGTGAGTAGAGGCTTCCTTCTTTGTGGGGATACAGTAGGTGGGTGTAGTTTGGTAGAAAGAAAATAGTTCCTACATGAAACTGCTCACAGCAACATCTGTGGATTATCTTGAGTAACTTGGTTATGATTTCTGGAAGGAGGCATTGCTATTGAATTTTTAAAATGTATTTTTTGGCACTTTGAGCACTGCAAGTGGAGTGCCATCTAGTTCTGTTATATTTGAGAGAAGGCAGACATCTCTAAGGCCGATACCTCCAAGACTCAGTAACTCACACTAAAACAATCGAGGTAGCACTACAGGTAAAAAAAAAAAAAAAAGCAATTTTGGTTTGCAGTAACCTGTCTTTGTAACAGTGCCCTACCTGCAGTGTGGTCAATGTCACAGAAAGCACTAAATCAATTCACTGCCCGTGTCTATAGCTTCACATATTTATAGCACTGAATTATGGCGTCATCCTTAACGAAAACAAAGCAGGATCTGTGTCTGTGCCATAGTATTTATTTTTACACAGCTAAATGACATGAAACACATGTACATAGACAATAACATGCAAAGGCTTTCCCCAAGGCCTTTTCAATATTAACTTTAGGTGTGCAGTAACACAGATATAAACATGCACAGATGGTCTCATAAATCCCTCAGTACAGTGATACTACATCATAAGTATAACCACAGTGATGTCTACACTATACAGTTCATTTTATGGTATTCTTACCTGTTGAAAAGCCACCATGGACACACAATGAGTGCATAGATGCTGGAATTTTGGATTCTGATAAGCTGGCTTGAACAGCTGTTTATACATATCTTTAAACACAGAAGTGCAAAACACTGACAGCGCATGCAGACATTAAATACTTTGATTGATTGCCATCTCAGTGTACCATTTTGAAATCAATTCTTCTCCCAATCAGCTGCGAGACACCAAATCAGCTGATCTGAAGCAGACGCTGCTCCATTTCCTCGCTGATGTGTGCCAGGAGCAGTATCCTGATGTCATGGGCTTCCCAGACGAGCTCATCCACGTGGAAAAGGCCAGCAGAGGTACAAGGGACATCTGACTGATCTCTATACATATCCATCCCTAAATAGTATCACCCGTTACAACCCTCTGGGTCTTATTGATACAGTGTGCTCTCATTGTTATAGTCATGTGACAGAACAACAGTCCATTATAGGCTGTGTATGTAAGTGCTCGGCATCATTTTTCTTCCCCCTGCAGTTTCTGCAGAGACCATTCAGAAGAACCTTGAGCTGATGGGCCGTCAGATCAAGACCCTGGAAAAAGATCTGGAAACTTTCCCACCTCCACAAAATGACAAGGACCTGTTTGCTGAGAAAATGTCCATATCCTTTTTATTCAGTTATATGTTTAATTAATTATTAAGCAATTGCCTGAAACAGTCTGTTTATATGAAAATTCAAGCAACAGCTCTTGCCATCATGAATTACATTTTTATGCCTTGTTAAGGTACAGAATTATGTGTGCCCCGTGTTCCTTAACACCATGTTTCCACAGTTTTATTGGTACAGCTCGTGAGCAGCATGAGAAACTGGATCTGCTACATAAGAATATGGAGAAGCAATATAACGACCTGGGAGAGTACTTTGTCTTTGACCCGAAAAAGATGTCAATAGAGGAATTCTTTGGGGACATCAACACCTTTAAAAACATGTTCCAGGTGTGTTTTTGTGCACATGAATGAACTGACTTGAGTCTTATCTGCAGGTGTGGTTTTCAGTTTTAACCCACCAACCAAATCAAACTCTTACACATACAGCACAAAGACATACACACAAGTGGAGTCGAAAAAAATGAAGTAGCTGAAAGAGGGAAAGATGAAAGACAAATGTCAAACCTGGAAAAAGACAAAAGGCATCACACCTGCTTGTATTGACATAATAACGAATGAAAGTGACTCCATTATATTTTAAGTTTATATATCAACTGCCAATGTGCCGTTTGGGAGGGCTCCCACAGGAGATAACTTGTTTTACCAGTTATTGAGCATAACTGCCATCCACTGGTGTTGAAGTTATGTTTACATACATAGATATCCATCACATCCATAATACACCTGTCTAAGAATCACTTTGGTACTTTTCACACTAAGTTATCCACACCAAACGCTCACATTTAATCTGCAAACACACAGTCTGATATCATTTTCTCTTTCTTCCCCCACCAGCAAGCAGTGAAGGAGAATCAGAAGAGGAAGGAGGCTGAGGAGAAGATAAAAAGGGCCAAGCTGGCCAGGGAAAAGGCAGAGAAGGAGAAGGAGGAGAAGCTCAAGAAGAGCCAGCTCCTCGACATCAACGCAGGTCATAATTGCTGGATCATGTCTGTTTACCTGTGTGTGACTGAAAGAGAGAGAAACACTCCACTTCTCTCAGTTTGTATTTCCCTCAGACTCCAGTTGGGGGCAGTCAGAGTCCACGCTTCTGTGGAACATTTGTGTGTGTCTGTGTGTGTGTGTGTGTGTGTGTGTGTGTGTGTGAAAGAACAACCCATCAGTATTTATAGACCAGAGTTAATCTCATGTTGATGACCTGTGTTTTGAAGAATAATAATAAGCTTCACAGAAACTGAGAACCAGCGGGATGTATATAAGGAACTGCTTGACCTCTTTTCACTCCTCTGGTGAACGGGGGGATTTGCTTCCGTAAAAGAGGACGGAAAGAGCTCCTAAATCTCTTTATCACCAAAAACATATTTCCACTCTTCTATGAGATGCTGTTATACTTTGAGAAATGCTTGCAGCATATTGTCCTGCGTAGCACACACACATACATTCTTGCTCGCTCATCCTCGTATACACACAGTTAACACTCAAATCCTGCCTTGCAGACACACATTTATGCACAGGCACTTTTTTTTCTCCTCTTTCTCTCAGACTGACCTAGTTTCAGTACATTCCTCCTCTTTCTGGCTCCAGTCATGTTCTCCTGGGACTCCACAGTTCCACAGTCAAAATTCGCTTCAGCCTTGTTGCACCCTGTGTATGTTTGCATGCATGTGTGTTACATTATTACTTCTTCTTTCTTCGTTTGAATGTTTGTGTTTTACTTTCCTCATGAGTTGGAAAACGCTTGTTTTGGCCAAAGTGTTTCTGCACTCTGTGTGTATACGAATGTGTATTTGTGTCTATTCTGTGAGCCTCTTTTACAAAAAGTCTCGCTGGCCTTTCTGCTAGTGCTCCAAGTTCCAGCTGGCTTCTCCTCTCCTCTCTTTCTTGCTTTTGTTCCATCACTGCCTCCTCTTTTTTTTTCTTTCCCTCCCCCCGTCAAATCATTTAAAGGGCACTTAAAGGCACAGCCAGCACCGAGGCTCCACTTGGAATATTTTATGTCTGTGTTTAAAGTACGGAGCAGGCATTTGTGGTAGAAAGTAAGGTAGTCAAATTTCATGTTCAGCCTCTAGAGGCATGCGTGAATGGAACATAATAGTGCTTCAAAGATGTGTGTGTGCGTGCACTAGTGGGCTAGAGATCATTTACATACAGGTGGCATATTTGACTGCCCCTGTAGCCCGGAGTCATTCAACACCCCCCTATTTAAATTCAACCACACACAAATCTAGCATACACACACCTGGTCTTTGTTCCATATTTGCTTATAACCATCATACTGGATGGCTTTCTACACAAAGGTTGTTTTCAGCAGCGACACTTTCGCACGCTCATATCTTCCTTGTTCCCTTTTCTCTCTCAATTCCCCACCCATCAGCTCACATACCCTCACTATCTCATGAATTCTCTGAATGTTCCTCTTTCTCCCTCTGTAAACATAATATCCCAGTTGGTGGTTAAATCCTGGAAGGTCAGTGTGTGTTTGCATTTTGTGGCCTTGTCATTCCTCTGTGAGTCAGACAGACAGACGCTCACTCAGTGGAGCATCAGTTTGCACATGTGCTAAGCATGTGATGTCGGTTGTAGTGAATAACTGATCCTTGAGAGACTCTTAGTAGATCAATACTTAATAATATATTTTTTTCATAATCTAATCAGTAAGTGCTTTTACTTGGCTTTATTTGGCTCTCATAAAAAATGGAAGCTCAGGATTCAGGGAGCCAGACTGCCACACCCAAATATCCACATTCACCATCTGTGCTTAAAGTAATTTCATCTGATAAACACTGTCTACTACTGTAATGAAAAATCCATCCCTGCCTGTCGTACACTCATCTTTGGAAACATGCCAGACTACTTAGCTGCTGATATTTTCTTATTTCCACAGCTAGGTGTCAGTACTGCCTGTAAAAGATTGTGTGAGGCTGTGGGTTTTTTATGTATGAGCCAAAAGGGTTTGCACATGTGTGGTTTACACACCCACTCAGATGCTGGCTTGGGAACTGCCACTAGGAGTGCTCGTGCTCCACACAGTGAGCAAGTGAGGGAGTGGTGTGGGGGATGGGTAGGGATAGAGGGTAGTAGGGCAGCAGATGCTCTCTTAAGGATTAGACAGTGTTGTCTCTGAGAAAAGGAGGTAAGAGGAGCAGAGGAGAAAAGCACATGATGATAGAAGGGATGAGATGGGATAAGCCTGGGTAGTCTGCCTCACCCTGGTCCACTGTGAAAGAGAGGCATGATTATGGCACATTAGGAATATAGAAATTATGTCTCTCTCTTGAATATTGTCTTTCTTTCTCATCATCCTTTCCCCCTTTAATGTTTTTCTCTGTGTTAGTTGTTGCTTCTCTCTTCTCTGTAAATTTTTCCATTCAAGTCCACATCTGTTGTTGTGTGAACGTCCATTAGGGGTGCTACTGCTCCACACGAGATGCTGTCCTCCCTCTGTGTGTGTGTGTGTGTGTGTGTGTGTGTGTGTGTTTGCACGCGCGGGGGTTTGTGTGCCAGATAGAATCTGTCAATGTGTGTGTGCATCCAGTGTAAATCAGATCCAAAGAGACATCTTTAAGAGCTCATGATCTAATGCTGTTACACTAATTAATCCTTCTTATGTTCTTACTTGCTTCAAACAATACCATTCTGTTTGTATCATCATGCACGATAGCTGTGTCTGTGTGAAGTGTGTGTGCGTGCTTGTGCTGCTCCCAGTCCATGCCACTGTCATACTGATTTTGCCACCCCAGTTTTTTACACCATTTCAGTATTGACTCTCTATTGATTCTCAGTGACACCACTAGTCAGATGTGTTTCACAGAAAAATCATGTGACTTAACAGAAGCACATGATCATCAACAAGTGTTTAAACACCAGGGTTTTTCCCCTAAAATGAGCCCCATTACTAGTCGCTAACAAACCACACATTGTAAAATTTCCTTTTGAGAAAGAAGACTCACATATGGCTTCATGAAATAGTGTTACCCTTCACCACACTCACACAAAAGCACTTCAGAGCTGTATGTATAATGCTACACAGTACAGTGGCCCTAGGACATTCTAGTTTTAGATGAGAGTTCACTCGGTCATCAACGCGCCTGTTTTATACACAGCCATGTCATTGTTTGGTCCCGCTCAAGCCTCCAGTACATACTCACATATAGGTTTGTGTGTTTCTGTGCCTCCATCAGTGGTTTAAGCCAACCATGTGATTAGTGTGAGTGGAAATGTGCCAGATGTGTTTCCCCGGAAGGAGAAAAACAAGGCCTGCATCATCCTGATCTGTCTGTGCAGTTCCACAACATGAACATTGAGGGGTGTATGTGAGCTGTGGAAGGCCTGTGGAGTGTATGAGGGAGAGTTTCTCTGACGTGACAGGCGAGACCACAGGCCATCTGCTTCATGGCTTACTGCAGGATTAGATGTAGTGTGTATGTGTGTTTGTGTGTGAGCAAAGCTGTGCGTGTTGGTGTTTGGGGGGTTGGGGAGGTGATGACATAAACCTTTAACCCCCAACCTCACTGCCCCCTTTGCCAGACCCCTCTGTCTCCATTCAGGTTCAAATAGAAATAATTAAAACCATCTGCCTGAGCACTGAGCTGTGCCACTGAATCCTGCCCACAAAACAATCATGACAACACTCACACACTTGTACACATAGCAGCGTCACCGTGGAGTACCCCCCCTCCTTCCCTGATCCCTGATTTTAAGACCACCAGAGTCTGTGCAGAGAATGTGGATGTAAACAAACACAAACACAGACACACAAACAGACCACCCGTACTAACTGTACCTGTACACACACACAGATCCAAGGTTTCTTTTCCAGTCAGCACCTTTTTAACTGCAACCTGCAATTACTCATTCATTCTGTAGTATTTTAATGTTTATGAGGAGGTTTGGTTTCAGTGGGTGTGTCTGTCCAGTAAGGCTGTGTTTGTGTTATAGAGGTTATCTCCCAGAACGTGGTGTGTAGCCCCCAGCAGAGACAGTATCTGAACTAGGTCACTGGCTATCTAGGTTAATGTAGCTAATTTACCAACGTGGCCACGTGGCTGGTAAATAACCTCTCTGCCCACGTGTGTGTTGGCGTGTCTGAGAGAAACAGTGATAGGTAGAGGGTTTAGAAAAACCACCAATCACTCCCCTGTTGGTGGGAAGCAAAATTAGTGTGTATTTTAAGGTTGTATTGTTTTAAAATAACATGGTTGTGATTATGGAGTCGTGTGTGTGTGTGTGTGTGTGTGTGTGTGTGTGTGTGTGTGTGTGAGACATAAATAAAAGTTAAAATGTGACTCCACATGTTGATTCAATCCAGTGTTTGATGATGCTGATGTTATGTTTTGATGTTTACAGAGGGTGATGAAACTGGTATCATGGACGGCCTGTTGGAAGCGCTGCAGTCCGGCGCTGCTTTCAGGAGAAAGAGAGGACCACGGCAAGCAGGTACTCACACACCAGCAGCGCCATAAATCTTCATCAAACATGCAGATGTTTCAAAGTGTCATGTCTTACTTGATTTACAGATTTCTGTTTCCACTCACCGACATTTGTGGTATGCATACTATACTGAAACATGTGGAGCATATGAGACACATTTGTTCCATCTCTCTCCCTCTCTGTCTCTATGTTTCTGTCAATACACAACAACAGATTTGTTTGTGTTCCCCATGTCTCTGTTCCATCTGTTGCATGGCTCAGAGACTGTGGGTTGTGGTTGTATTCTCTGGCCACGGCTGCAGGGGGGCAAAGCCAATTCCACCAATGGTTGGCACAACAACAAAAGAAGAGGCAGGGTGCCAAGGGGTGGGTGTGGACAGCAGGATACTTACGAGAGGAACAACTGGTGAGGGTGTGGTTGTAGGAAAATGTAAGAGGAATATGAATGTAGAGCTAAGGAGGATAAACCAGTGTGTGGGTAGAAAGTTAAAGGAAGTGGGCGCATGGATGATAGGCACAATGTATTTTAAAATGTATGAACAAAATACAAGTAGTTAGAGTGGGAATAGACAAGTTGTTTTTAGCTTTAACTTATCATTATGAGGTAAACCTTGATTGCACAATGTAATGTCTATAGAGTAATGACATCACCAGTGATTAGTTGGTTCCCTATAAGCCTCGCTTTCACTTTGTAATGCCGACTGCCACCTGTTATGATCTCCCAGGAACATAAAGGCTCAATTTACAGTACAAAGAAACTGTGTTAACCATTGCACAAACAAAAGAGGAAGAGCCTACTGCTTTTGTTTTCCCTAGTAGCTATCTGTAGCTAACCCCAGTTACCAAACCTTATCATTGTAAGTTATTTGCAGTTACTATCCGCAGTAGTGGTACTGGCAGACGGTCGAACAACAGTGGTAACTTTGGAAAACAAATTGCAGTTTGCCTTGTGTTGTTGGTAGTTGCTAGGCTCTGAGGAAAACAAAATGCTATTCAGTTGTCTTTGCCTCAGCAGAGCCAACCATAATACCAACTGGTTTGTAAAGTTGTCTGTTTTCACTTTAAGTCACCCCTCCATGTAAAAATGTGTTTTGCATATCATCGTTTCAAATGTATCTGCTGAAGAAGGAATGTTTCTCTGCTCAGTCTTAATCTAAGTTTTTAAGACATTTACATACAAGTATGAGTGGACATTACAACCTGTTGGGAAGCCAGTCATGGTCCAGTATGCAACTTACACGAGTGCAAATTGAAAAACACACAGTATGCTGAAAATGGAAGTTGTAGACACTAGGGATGGTACACAGAAGTCAGGGTTTGGTGAGAGTTTGGTTCACACACAAAGAAAAATACATATGAAAAGATATTTCCTTTTTTTCTTTTTTTTAGCAGACAGTAGTGCAAGTGCCAAAGACAGACAAATCCTCCACCCTCCACATCTGTATTACACTGTATAAACACTGAACACTTTCCCAAAATGCAACAGGTGACCACAGGCTGTAAAAGCATCTGTTGTGGCTTCTTAATAAATCTAATCATTTCCACCTGTCTCACAATTAGTCTGATCCTTGGTCATACATAGGTGGTGTCATTTTCCTGCCCTGTCACGGCCACAGTGCATATTAGAGGTAGACTTCAACTCTAAACTCATTAGACTTGGCCATGACATTGAAATTACCAGTGTACATAGAATACTAAAAAGTAAAACTTGTGCTTTAGGAGAAGTGTTTCAGTTAGTTCCACTGTATATCCAAACATTTGTCATCCCCATGATTGGCGCGTCATGATGTCATCAAATAGGTGTTTGATGTGTTTCCATTAATTTCTCCTACAAGTGTCAACACATGGTCCTTGTCTTTTACACTCGTCTCCCTCTGGTGCAGTTTATGCTGACCAGGAACCCGCAGTCGGGTCTTCCAGTCCTGGTGTTTCATTTGCACTCACCATAGTGTGACTAACTATCAGCTTGTTGTGCTAACTTCAGCACATGTTGCTAACAGCGTACGGCTGAAAATTTGCGGGCAGAACTTGCGCTTGTGGACTTCGGTTCCACATTACATGCATTAATGTACAGACTGTGTATTCTCCTTGCAGCTGTGTTCACCGTACTGTGACCCCTGTACCGTGACTGGTTGGTATGAATACACGAAATTCAATCATAAAATCTATAGTGTAACAATCATTCAACTCAAAATCTTTTTTCCATTTTTCTTGGAACAAAAAGTAGGAACACTGTTTTAGTCATTACTGGGTCCATGTCCTGTATATGAGGACATATTCCTGAGCACTAATCCAGTCTGTATTGACTTTCATTCAGGCCATGTTGTTCAGTCTTTAAGCTCAGGCCAGTAATCTGGTTAGCTACTTATTCTGCTGTGTGTCCCTCTGCCCAATCCAGTTACATTCACTTATTGGAGACTAAAGTGTTTTTCTCCCTCTTTTCTGTTGTCTGTTTTTAAACTTGTACTCATACCACATGCTGTGGATAATATGTCATGGTAAGACCATGCAAATGAAAATGGGGCAGTGTGAGCAGTCAGGATAGTAACTTTGTAATATGATTCCTTGAGTTGTGTGTAACTATGTGAGTGGGAAAGTGTCCAGTGCCCATTAACCGAGAGAGGGAGAGAGAGAGAGGGCGAGCCTGTATGTGTGTTTGTTCACATGCACTCATGTGTGGGTCGAGTATTCACACATAAGAGAGGCTGGGGAAGAGTGTGTGCAACCCAATACCTCCCTCAATAGAAGCCAGATGTGAAGCGGTGCTCCAGAGTGGAATAGCTCAGAGCCGGCGGGCAGACTGCACTCTTTCTTTCTTTTTTATGTCTCTCTTTCTTTCTCTGTCTTTTATCTTACTTTCATCCTTTTTACTTTCAATTACCAAACGCATTTATATAGCCTGCTAGCAGTAATTGTCCACAGCAATTAAACAGGGGTTGTAACAAGTGGTCCTCTAAGTCACACTGAGAAAATCGCTAAGTGCAGCGAGCTCTCTCTAATCACAAACAGCTCGCGCTCATCACCACTAAACTGGCAGAGACAACAGTGAAAGGAGGAAATGGAGGGAGAGAAGCGGGAGCAGGGGAAAAGAGCACTGTATGAGAGAAAATGGGGCCCACTCAAGGGCTTAGTCAGTCACCCATAATACTGTTTGGCCACCTCACACTCCTAACAGGAAATACCTTCACATGTGTGTTTGAGACACAGAGGGAGAGAGAGGAGAGTCAGAGCCTTCCTCCCTACGCACACTTGTCTGTGGTAGGACAGAAGAAGGAAAATATAAGTGTCTGTGTGTATCACATCTCTGCTCAGTGCCTCCTCCCTGTCTCCACTTTTCCCTCCGTCTTGTCATTTTTGTTGTCTTTTGCCAAAGTTCAGGGTTTTCCATGGCTGATGTGGAGAGTGTGAAGCCCTGCTGTGGCTTTTAGGCAATCTCATCTTTGTTAGTTTAAATTTTCTTCATGTTTAAAGGCTGCTCCTTTCCAGTTACCCACTTTGTTTCGTACACCAGGGAAGTCTTTCACCCACACACAATGGGAGTGTGTATTTGACTGGTTGGTTGAGTCAGAGGTCTTAATTTAGTGGAGCTGTAGTGGGAGGAGGCACATTCTGACTCTGGCTCTGCTGATATATATCTGGCACCACTGGGGCCACAGGCAGCTTGTATGAGCAGGCAAAAAACACTCCTCTATCCAGATTATGTAGGCATGGAGAGTATTTTAGTGTTTACTCTATACTGTGTAATATAGCTATACAATTTACTGTGTACAGGAGGAGGATAAATCACTTGATTTGTTCCGTGTCTTTTATATAATAACCAGAGGTGGAATATAACTAAGTACATCTACTCAATCTACAGTTTTGAGGTACTTTTTCAGTTTTCACTGTACCATGCTGCACTGCAAGTGGTTCCTGAAGTTAGTATGTGTCCTTTATATAGCTGTATAATGGAACACTGGTACATCTTTCTTTATAACCCTGCTTCCTCATTTACTTTCTCTACTGACTCCTAAATCAGTAGTTGCCATCCTGGGTCATACGGTCAACTTATGTACATCACTCCTTGAACCTGCACTTAAAATAGATTATATTATAAGCATGGGAGATTGAGGAAAAAAAACAGAATTAAGGACTATCTGACCACTGAATTCAAAATTCAAATTTAATTGTTTGTTGTAAATTGGCTGTTTGCTTTAGGTCTGTGGCTTGTTTTTTGTAACATTTTGGTGCTGTTTGATTTATTTTTTTGCTGTTTTTCCATTTTATGCTGCTTTATACTTCTACTTGACTACATTTTGGAGGGAGATATACTTTTTACTCCACTAAATTTAATTTAATAACTTTAAATACCAGTTACTTTGCAGATATAGAGTATTAATACAAAATATCACCAACTAATAAATTATTATATACTATTAAAGATTAAGCTGTCCAGCAGTGTAAAAAGTAATTCAAATAAGCTCCACCTTTAACAACTGTAACATTAAAGGGATAAACACATGAATGCACTGATAATTAGAATCCAGTAATATGATATACATTATTCTGAGACTGGCCATTATGCATACAGGTACTTTTACTTTTGGTACTTTGAAAATATTTTGATGCTGATATTTCCTAAGAGTTTGAATGCAGGATTTATACTTCTTAAGGAGTATTTCTTCACAGTGGTAGTGATGCTTTTACTTCAGTAAAAAAAAGCTGAATACGTATTCCACTACTGATAATAATAGAACACAATATCAAGGAACCGCAGCTCTAGGACAAAGCAGTTAATTTCAGATGTTATAAAAGTGGCATCATTTTGGTGACATGTGTCCTCATCTCTCCTTCCCTCACTGATGGTGTGATATAATATGTCACTAGCCCTCAGGCCAGTTGAACCAGTTGCTTATCTAATCTCATCCTAATTACTTTTCCATGCAGTTAAAATACAATTGATTTTAGCTCTTGTACTCAATGGTATCACTGATCAGATGCCATGTAATGAGTCTGCAAACACATAG